CGGAAAGGAAAACAGGAGATGGATCTGGGTGTGTGAAAGGAGATCTCCCATTGACATCTAGCTCTAAAAAAGAAGAATTCCCTGATGATAGCTGTGCGAATGAGAGGTGCGGGAGGGAGGAAGCTGTTGCCAAGGAACCGGCGTCAGGAACGTGCCTAGTCATGGCCGGCCCAATAACGAGGTCAAGGAGCCGTGCGCATACACTGGTCAAACTATAAAAGTGAATCTCCCATGGACTGACATTTTGAGCCCTGAGGACGTCAGCAGATAGCTGACGAAAGCTAGGCGTTTTTTAATTGGTGTTTTAATTAGTAATTTTAATATTAAATTATTTTACCATATTCCCTGGTGCTCGTGTTTGCTCACTGATTTTAATACAGTTTTATATATATTTAGAAAATGAATTGGACTAGAGGGTAATTATTTAGAAGATATAAATTATACACGAACATTTCCCCTGTGTTTCATCCTTCATAATTAGCATTAATCTTTTGAAAGAAAAGATTACCCATCTTTTAAAGGTAGTATAAAGACATTCACATATGTAGCATGTTGTATAGGGTAATTATCCAAGCTTTAGGCTTTTTTCTCTTGGTAGAGCATCTAAGATACCAAAGGAGAAATAAGGATAGGCACCAGTATGATGAGATAGGAATTTCTTTTCCTGTTCTTCTCCATTTCAGGCATTCCCCATAACTTTAAAATCTTAAAAGCAACATTTGAAGACCAAGAGACTGCAGTAAGGAGAGAAGGTGTTGTCTTCCCTCCTAGTCCATTAATAGAAGCCATATCCACATTAGGCTTGGGTATTAATGTTTGGGTTGATGGAGCAGAAGTAGAGAATCATTTGGTTGAAAAAAAATCCTCATCCCACTTTAGACATGAATACAGTAGATACACAATGATGTTAGGAACTGAGGTTCTTTACTGAAATGGCTTGTGTGTCAGCTTCTTTGAAGGATGCAAAATTCCTAACGTCACATGTTCTTTTTAATATCTAGGTGGCAACTAAATATGAAGTTAGTATCTATGCACTGAAGGATTCTTTGACCAGCAGACCTACCCAAGGTGTAGTTAATACTCTGGAAAGTAAGTGAGCCCACATAATCAAAATTGCCATAAATCACTGAGCTGAAAGGCGAAACACTGTGGCTTTTTAGGCTATAAGTACAAAGAAGGGAGCATTGTCAAAATACATAAAGTCATTTTCCATCTTTGACATAACAAAATTGTATGTTATTCAGTAAAGTTAAATGGTACAAAATTCAAGACAGATAAAGGAAATGCCACTTCACACAGCACACATAACTGAATTACTACAAGATGTGATGTGGTCAGCATTGAAGATGTTAAAAGGGGATTCAACAAATAAATAGATCTCTTATGTGTTTATCAATAGCTAAGAAGGATGGCTGTGCACTATCGTGAGATTCAGACACACTGAAATATAGTCATGTAGGGATATTGGCATGATATTGTCCTCATATTCTTCTCTAGGCATCTATGTAGTCATTTCATTATGCATTATGAGACAGTGGACAAGGAGCTAGGCTTTTGCTAATCCAATAAGACTACTGTTACATTCTTGTGGAATTAACGAAGGAGAATATTTGGAACTCAGGGTTGTGGAATTACCAAGACAGAAACAGCTATCCTGGTTTCCTCTTTCCTTCTTGACCAATTTCAGTCAGTGTTAATAGAAGAGGAGAGATCCAACCCATGGCTCCTGTTGTGTGGTGTGCCCCTGGGGTTGGTTCTCTCTTCTCCTATTTAACATCTACATGAAGCTATTGGCTGAGATGATCCAGTCATTTGGGGTGAGGTATTATCAATATGCAGATGATACCTAGCTATAGATCTCCACCCCAGACACATTGAGTGATGCTGTGGATATCCTATCCCAGTATCTGGAGGCTCTAGGGGCCTGGATGAGGTGCAATAGTCACCGACTCATTCCAAGCAAAACAGACTGGCTTTGGTTATTTAGTTCTCCTGGGAACAGGGTTCTTCCATCTTTGGTACTGGATGAGGTAGCACTGCCTTAGACAGGCTTTGTGGCTCCTGCTTGAAAAGCAATTGACAGCTTTGATAGGAGGGCCTTTGCACATCTTCAGATTGTGTGCCAATTGTGCCCTATTCCTGGTGCGGGGAGCTTTGTTCAGTCACTCATGCCAGTGTTACCTCTCATTTGGATTATTGTGACGAGCTCTGCATGGAGCTGCCATTGAAAAGCATTTGAAGTTGATACAGAATTTGTCTGCACAGTTAATTAATGGTGCCTTTTACACCATATATGTAACAGTACTACTTTGGGAGCTGCTCCATTGTGTTTCCACATGCAGTTCAAGGTTCTGATTGTCACCTTTAAAGCGCTACATGGCTTGGCATCTAGTTCCCAAAGGGACCATCTTCTCCCAATAATTTCTACCCATCCAATTTGGTCTAATTGATTGGGGATGCTGTTAGTTGGTGGAGACCAGAGGGAGTGCCTTCTTAGCAATAGCCCCAGCCCCTTGGAACAATCTTCTTTCGCTGCTCAGGATGGCCCCAACCCTATTAGCCTTTCATAAGATTTTAAAGACCTGCCTATGTGCCTGAGCCTGGGGTCCTGAAAATGTTAGGGGCTCCATTATCTGGTTGCACTGCTAATTTTTATGTAATTATTATGATAATTTTTAGTTGCCCCTACATATAATTTGTAACTGATTTTGTGTTTCTTCGGATTTAATTATTGTGATGCTGTTTGTCATTCAGAATCAATTGGATTGAACATAGAACATAGATTCTATCTATTGAATATTGAATCTATTAATTGAGAAGGGCAGTTATATGAAATCAATCAATCAATCAATCTCTGGGCCGTAGACTGCAATTTATTTTAATCTATTTTTCTTGGAAACTTCTAAGCTCAGTATGACCATTATATTAATGATGGACATTCCACCTTTTTGGTGCAGATGTTAGTGCTCCCCGTAGGGCTCGTGTCACAGATGTCACAGAAAGAACCATCACAATTACCTGGCGCACCAAGACAGAGGCAATCACAGGTTTCCAGATAGATGCCGTCCCTGCAGGTGGTCAGAATCCAGTTCAAAGAACAATTAGTCCTGATGTTAGAACCTACACCATTACTGGTATGTGAGCATCATTTCTGTACCTTGAAAAGTTTTATGATAATATTTTGTAGGAAGGATATTGCTTAAGGATATCATGCAGAACAAAATAAAACAAAACTCCGGTAACTTTCTAGCTCTTAAACCTTAACCTAGGATATTTTGTCCATTTTTTATTACCACATTTAGAATACTATAAACAGCTGAGCAGCTCCAAGGAGAATTCAGAAAACATTGATTTTGCTACAGCTGAAGGACCAAATCTTGTATGGTTTTCAGTATTTATAATTCCTCCCCTGGGATAACTTCTTCAGAGCTCCCTGTCTTCTGAGTTGCAAATATTAAGGGTCACATTTCCTATGGGAAATAATAATAAATTATTTCCCCCATCTCATTACCATGCAGTAGGTAGGAGAAAAGCAATCATTGGTGGAATTTTCTTTTTTGTGCAACTTATAGAGGTCCGGGAAACAGTTTGGTTCCCTTCTTGTCTTTTGTGATTGTGGAGGTTCAGGTTTTAGAGCTTCCCTGCCTGTTCATTTCTTTTCTGCCATCATATCTTCTGCCCTAGGCTCCAGGTGATCGTTATAATCTAGTTCAATTTTCCTTCCTTCAGTTTCCATAGTGCCCTTAGTTATTGTTTCTTCATTTCAGAATTGTGCAGGGATTTGAAGACAGATATCTATAATAATATCAAAACAAAGCAACAAAGGTTACCTCAGTTTTTCTACTCTAAGCTTTGTAAACTGGATTTCTTTAACTCCTTGCTACATATTTTAGTATGTAGGCTTCCTCTAATCAGAACTTTACATAAAGCACCATTGATTTATTTTTAATGCTTTATTTGATTTACAGGCTTGCAACCTGGCACTGACTACAAGATTTATATCTATGCGCTGAATGAGAATGCTCGCAGCTCCCCAGCAGAACTTGATGCTTTCACTGGTAATAATACTGAGCAAAAATTCCTATGCGCTGAATATAGAGCTTTGTTCTTTACAATCCTTTGTGACTGGTTTCTGTCTCCAGCCAACTTCTGAGAATGAAAAAAAAAATATGACAGTGTCTGAAATACATGGAAATTGCAATAACTAACATTTATTTAAATGTTTTTGTTCCTTAGCCATTGATGCACCGTCCAATCTGCACTTCCTCACAACTACAAGCAACTCCTTGTTGATCAATTGGCAACCACCACGGGCCAAGATCACAGGCTACATAATCAAATATGAGCAAGTTGGTGGCCCAACCAGGGAGCTACTTCCTCGTCCTCATCCTGGTATTACTGAGGCCACTATCACAGGTATGAACTTTTCATAATGAAGCTGGATCATCAAACAGTATTGAGGAAATGTAATTTGGCAGCATTTAGAATCTCTGCAGTCAGAGGAAATAACAATGAGCCTTTGAAACTACTATTAACTGCTGGAGTACAAGGAATAGCATTGGCTCCCTGGGTTTACAGGAAAGATTTCCTCAGCTGCACTTTAATATTGTGAGGATTGAATTTGGAGTCTTTTTACCTCTAAATATTGTGAAGAAGTTTTTTTAAAGTCTAATCAAATTGGAATTGGTCTATTGTGTAGTAATAATACATTATTTAGGAGATGAAGTAAAGCATTGCTTTTCAAAACTAGGATGTGTTCCTGACCTAGTGATTAATTTTTGAAGGCTAGATTTTGATCCCATCCTAACATGTTTTCCGATTATAACTAATCTTTCTTGTCTTAGATCTGAAATAGAATAGTCCACATGGGTACTTATTGCATGATACACTACAATATATCCTGGGGACAGAAGGCAGATGAAAATTTGGTTTTTTTTAAAAGTGATTTGTAATGGTTTATACCACTAATAATGCTATAACGCTGTATACCACCAACATAAAATATTTAAGATAACATAACATATATTAGACAAAAGTAATAAAAAGTAAAGCAATAAAGCTACAGAAATAGATAAAACTTATAGTTTGATTATTAAAAAGTGAGCAGGCTTTGCCTTTCTGAACATCTTAAATCCTGAACTGGCTGCAGTGTCCTTTTAAATTTTTCTTCCATCAGATCTGGAGGCAGGGACAGAATATATCATTTATATAACTGCTGTGAAGAATAATCAGAAGAGTGAACCATTGATTGGAAGGAAAAGAACAGGTAATATTAACCTAGATTTCATTCCTGTATCTTCAAATAAATCCTATGCAATTCAGTGAGAAATATTACATAGCATTGCATGGTATACTTTTGTAACATATAAACATTGTTTATAACCTGTGATTACTTAGATGTTGATTTATGCAAAATATAGTAGAATTCTAGCTTATTATCATTTCATGGATTTAGTTAATCTTTCTGCTGAATTTTCTTTGAAAATGACTGAATTAAAGTGCTGTCTAGCCTCTGAATTTGGCAGAAGGTATAATATATGTATTCCAGATAAATTGCTTTAGTTCACTTCAAATGTCCACATACATCCCAAAAGAAGTTGGATCAGTTTCTCCACTCACCCTCTGCAAGATGAAGGACTTTTGAGTGCTAAAATCTCAAAAACATACCATTTCACCCAAAATTGGCTACAAAATCAGCTTTTCTTACTATGATATCAAAAACCTCTGAGAATGATTATTTATTTTATTTTTTTTAAAAAACTATTCTATTATTTAAAAAATTGACCACTCTTGCTATACTAGTTTATTCAGAGTGAAAATTCTCTCTGTTCAAGAGTATTTAACTACAGGTAAATAGATAATTTTATATTATAGTGTTGAATTAGATTTCAACTACAGTTTAATATTTCCTTATTTCCATTGAATCAGTAAAATCAAAAAAGGAGATAATTTGGTTTGGATTATTGCTTCCAGTGGGTTAAAAATATCTTTCCTGCTCTCTCCCTGTTTCATTATTTTTAGTGCTTTCATTAGGTCTAAATCAGCTACTTTATATTTTATGAAAAATAATGATTTATAACAAATAAATTAATCCATGTTTCATGAAACTATGCATTCATTGGTGAAAGAGAACTGCTGTTTTATATATGACCTCATAACCAAAGGGCAGGAAGTGGATCCATAAAACTCTTATGAATAATTTGTTGGCTCTCCAGTTGACACTGTAGATTCAGTGTTGAAGCATAGATGGGGATCCAAGGGTTGACATCTTAGGAGAACTGATTTTGTAAACATGTCCCAAGTGTAATGCAATATATAATATTTCTCCCTTAAGAATTTTTTTTGGGGAAAAGCAGTATAGCAGTAAAGGTGGTTAAGATGTTAAATTCATTTATTTATAGATATCGAAGTAATTCAGTAGTTTGGCAAATGGGACTTTTGCTTTTTATGGATCTTTCAAAGCTCTTTGGTTGTCATTCTAATTTGGCGTTAGTTCCAAATTCCAATGCTTTCTTTTGCCTTTTGATTCAAATGCTATGAGAGTAATTTAACCAGGCTTTGCAGAATAATGTCGCTTTTTTGAAAATATTGCTAAAATTTAATTGCTTGAATTAAGATATTATGGGGCAGATTTCCTCCATCTCAAATGGAACCCTTGCTGGAGCTTTCAGCACCTGGCTTTCACTGCTTCTAACCTTTCTTTGGCTAGATGAGCTACCCCGGCTGGTAACTCCACCGCATCCTGGTAAAAGGGTGACAGAGATCTTGGATGTGCCTTCTGTTCTGGAGAATGTACCTTACCTCACAAACAACCCGTATGACAATGGAAATGGTATCCCAATTCCAGGTTCTTCTGGTCAGCACTCCATCCTGAGCAACCCAGGTCAACAAGTCATTGTAGAAGAATTTGGGTCTCGAACCCCCACAACTCCAGCAACTCCAGGAAGGGCTAAACCAAGTAGGGAAGAACAACCAGTGGTGGTGATCCGTCATCCCATTCAAGTTCCTGATGTTGACAAACCCTCTTATCATCATACCCTTCTATTGAAGGATAATTACACAAGGCCCCAGGAAGCACTTTCTCAGACAACTATCTCATGGACACCTTATACAGATAGCTCCGAATACATTATTTCTTGCCAGCCTGTTAGTGATGAAGAAGAACCTACTGAGGTAACTTAGATGAACTATCAGTGATGAAACAATGTGCCCATATTGTTTTTACTTTAATATTAGCTTCAGTATAAGATCTGGTAAGCTGAACCAGCTGTGTTGATGTGTTTTCACTAAGGGCAACAATGAAATTTACATATGATGAAGTTATCATTTAACAATGAGGATTTAAGACGGTAAGCAGTAGTGCTGCCTGTGGTTGAGGATTAATGTGTTTCTTAAGGAGAGAGTCGTAAGTTTGAGAAACCACAGTCCAATATAGGTTGAAGTCTCTTGAGACCAGAAATGGCAAGATTGGAAGACCAACAGCTCTAAATATGGAATCAGACAAAAAAATCTTGAAAAAGGGATTTTTATAGAGCAACTTCACATGGAAACTATTCGCAGCAGAGTTTGGAAGGGAGATGAATAGGAAAGCCAGGTAAATCTGGTAAGAAACCAGTATTTTAGAGGCTAGAATGGAAAGAGCTAGAAATTGGCAAGGTGTACATCAAAAAAAGTGAGTTGATTGCTGCATTCATACCACATGCTTATTAATAAGCTATTGAATTTACTTATTTTCTCATTTTACACAATAAAGTGACTCTAAATTAACCCAATAAGATGGGTTTGTACAACAGCCTAAGTCAGAAAAAAAGACCCTGGCCAAGATAATGAACACTAGACAGTAAATGGGGAAGTGTTCTGGTTAAGTATGTTCTGTGAATACAGCTTACTTAGGTAAGCTCTAAAGCAGTGCTGTATAACCTTTTTTATGCCAATGGCTGCATGTTAAGTGAAAGATTGGAGATTCCAATCAGACATGATTAAGACCAAGAGGTAGGTACGATCAAGATTAAAGATAAATGAAAATAGATAAGAGAATTATTGTATTCCTGCTGAGACGGTGAAAATTACAATTTGGTGACCACTTTTGCAGAAGCTTCAGGGGCCACCTGTAGGGCCTTTGTACTTGGGATTCCTGTTGTATATCTATCCTGTAAATAGTAGCACTTGTTCTGTTACCATGCTGTCTAACAATAACTGGATTAAAAGATTAAAGTGTAACACGAAGAAGGATCTATGCTGAAAAAAATAAAGCAGTGCAATGAAAAAAGTGAGCCAGTTAATTGAACATAAGTGGAAAATAATTACTAATATTAGAGAGAGTAGGCTTTAAATAAAAAAACAGTTGATAACAGCAAAAATTGCTTAAGAATGACTTCTGGTGACTACATAAACAGGGCTACGTAATTTTCTTAGCAAAAAATGTCAAAGTAGCTTCTTCTAAAGTTTGTTCAATTTCCCAGTTTAATCTGGAGATATGGATCACCTGATACTCTCCTATCTGTATTTAATTAGTACTGCCCTTCTGAATTCAGCTAAAGTCTGCTGAGTGCTGCCACCTCAGTAGAGCTTGTATCTGAGTAAGCACATTTAGGTGCAAAGCAATGAGCTGCCAATCAAAACATGTTTACACTGAAGAAAATCATACTGAAATTAACAAGAATTGTGAATTAAAAAGGCTAATATTAGATTCCAGGGTAGATTTCTGTTGTCTAAAAAGGCACACAGAGGAAGGGAAACAGTATTGCTCACAATGACGATAATATGAAAGTTAGTTAAAGTTTATAATGCAAATCCTTCCTCCTGGGTTGTTGTTTTGTTTTTGTTTTTTGCTAAATGGCTCACTGCCTGGAAAAAAAAAATAAGAATCAGTTTCCTATATTGCTAGAAAGCAAGAAAGTTTTAAAAACTGTTTTAAACAAAATTTTCTCAAACCACAGATCAAAGTTCCTGGTGTATATTCTAGTGCTACTCTTACGGGTCTTACTAGAGGGGCAACCTACAACATCATAGTAGAAGCAGTTAAAAATCAGAGAAGACACAGAGTTCTTGAAGAGATGGTCACAGTGGGCAATAATGGTGAGTGGAAATGAGAAGATTCTACTTTTATGTTTATGCTAATTTTATTTCACAATCATTGGCATTTTTTGATTTGTTTACTAGTTGATGGAGAGGTGCGGTGGCTCAGTATTATTATTATTATTTATTGAATTTATATACCGCCCTATCTCCCTTACGGGACTCAGGGCGGTGAACAGGCAATAATAAAAACCATGATAAATATACACAAGTTTCTGTTCTAAAATCAAATTAAATAACAGGCCTGCTCTAAAAGTACCCCATACAAAACCCCCACTAAAACATAATCAAACTACGCCAGGCCGGCCGCACGGAATAGATGGGCCTTCAGGGCTCGGCGAAAAAGGCGCAGGTCCGCAACTGTATGTAGGTCGGGTAGGTCATTCCAGAGGGCAGGAGCTGCCACAGAGAAGGCTCTCCCCCTGAGGGTCACCAGCCGGCATTGTCTGGCCGACGGCACCCTAAGGAGGCCCTCTCTGTGGGAGCGGACTGGTCGAAGGGAGGTGTTTGGTAGGAGGCNAACTCTTCCCAGAAAGTGGACTCAAGACCTGCCTCCGTTGGCCCGTCTGAACTAGTCCAATCGGAGGCCAACCCGTCCCGGATCTGATCGATTTTGTCATGCAGGTAACACCCAAATTCCTCTGCCCGACCCTGCAGGGGGGCGTCCCGGACCCTCTGATGAAGGAGGGAGCGGGACACCCTAAACAGGGCGGCAGGTCAGTTACCTGCAGACACAATAAGAGCGGAGAAATAGTTTTGTTTCGCCACTCTTATCGCCACTAGGTAAGCCCTTAAATGGGACTTTACCAGTGTCCAGTCATATTCGGAGCGGGTGGTCCTCCAAACACCCTCTAGGTATCTCTTCCGACGCTTCATCACCCTCAGCTCCTCAGAAAACCAAGGAGCCAAGCAGCATCGGGTGAGAGGCCGCAAAGGCACGACCCGGTCCAGGGCCCCCACGGCCGCACTATTCCAGGCGGCCACCAGGTCCTCAGTCGAGCCGCGGGTCAGGATCTCAGGTATTGGCCCATGCTCCGTCTGGAACCTCTCAGGGTCCATCAGGCGCCTGGGGCGGAACCATTTTGTCACTTCCTGTTCTGTCTCCCCGCGGTGGGGTGTAGCGGTTGGGAAGGCCAGCCGAAGGAGAGAGTGATCTGACCATGACAGGGGCTCAAATTCTATTTCCCCTAAACCATGATCACTCAACCACTGGCCAGAGGCAAAAACTAAGTCCAGTGTGTGTCCTCCGGTGTGGGTAGGGTCACCAACTAATTGGGTCAGGTCCATGGCCGTCATGGAGGCCATGAACTCCCGAGCCACCTTAGATGTTTCACCTACCGATGGCAGATTGAAATCCCCCATGACTAACAGTCTGGGGGTCCCAATCGTCATCTCGGCTATCACACTAAGAAGCTCGGGTAGGGCTGCTGATACGTAGCGGGGAGCCAGGTACACAATCAGCACGCCCTGCTGCCTCCCATGACCCCACTTCACACTTAGGGACTCACAACCGGCAGTCTGCAGCACAGTGGTCTCTCTTGGGTCCAGACCTTCCTTAATAATAACCGCCACCACCCCGACCCTGGGCTCTCGGCTGGTGAAATGCACAGTAACCTGGCGGGCACATTTCAACGAGGGGCACCCCCCCTAGGCCCAGCCAGGTCTCCGTAATACCCGCCAGGTCCGCCTCCCCCTCCAAAACCAGATCATAAATGAGGGGGGCTTTATTAACCACGGACCTGGCGTTACACAGCATCAGCCGGAAGCCCAGGCTGTCATGTGTCTGAGTAACGAAACACTTAAAAGGACTTTCAGGCATGTTTTTTCCTAAAAGCATTTATTAATGTTACAGATGCGTCAGCACAGCATGGGGGAATGCTTAGATCTGCTTCTCTTCCGTTATGCCTAATATTCCAAGCCTTTTCCACTCCCTTATTGTAAGGTCATGGTTCACATCTTCCAATCAACTTGGNGCCCCCTAAAGTCAGCTATGATTAATGGAGTAAAACCTACAGGGACTCCTTTTTTAAAAATCTTTTACTAGTTAATGATTGTACTGATTTCGTGTTATCTTCCTAGTCCTTTAGAGCAGAGGTCCCCAACCATTTGGGCACCAGGGACAGGTTACGTGGAGAGAGGTTTTTCCGTGGACCGGAGGGGGTGTGGTTTTGTATGCTGGCATGCCGCAGCCCAGTGCCAGTCCACGGACTGGGGGTAGGGAAACCCTGCTTTAGAGAGCACACACATCCTTTAGAGAGTCTTATACACACACATAGTCTCGTTTACCTATACAACAGCCCCATGAAGGGAATTTAGTCTGAGGGGGGAATGCTTCTTGTTCTTAGTCCAGGATCCTAACTTACCATAGCTTTTCAGTTCTTATGTAGGCTAGTAGGCTAGTTAAAATAACCTGTTCACAATACTTTATTTTCCTCGGACTACCTCCCAATATTTGGGGTTGCTGTTTCATTTGCAGATGGGAGCGCCCACACAACTGAAAGCTTTTCTCTGTTAAAAAAAATTCATTAAGAAAAAATGCATTTAAAGGGAAAAGCCTTAATGATAAGAAGAATCCTCATCCCCAATCTGACATGATATGGATGCTACAATCTCTTCATAGTTGGTCTGAGTATCTAAAAAAGGCAGACATCCACAGTCTAAATTCTTCCTATAACGCTAAATGCTCCTCTCAGCATTTGTCCTGGCTAGCAGCAGCTTCCCAAAATGTCTTCTGAGAGTTTTCTCTAGAAAGTTAGAACATTTTGCACGTACAGGAGTCTCTCTGCCACTGAATGTGGGCGTTTTTCTTCCCTGTAACCTTGGCATGTGGAACTTGAAATCTTCTTTCCAGGGATTCTCTTCAAGGAGTGAAAAGCCTTAGGAATTGCAAGGGTCATAGAAACTTTACATATGAGACACAGAGTTCAACATGGGAACATAACTGCATACAGTAGGAGCATTTACAGTCAGTTAAGAAAGGATGTTTCCATTGGAGAGCCTTGGATACAAGCAAGAATAATGAATTTTAGGGCAGGTCTCAACATTCTCCCTTTTCCATGTCCCTCTACAGAAGAAAGCATTTTTTTTCCTGAAATGCAGATTGATGATCTCTCTTTTTTTCCTCTGTAAAGAGATGAGATTGTGCAAAGATAAGGAAGTTGAGCTACTGAGAGCTGGCTTGCTAGACCATTTGAAGGAAACAGCTAGTCCTTTGGCAAGTTCAGTTCCCCTTTCTGGGTTACAGTCTGAACCTAATCCTTGAATGTGCATTTCAATTCTTAAATATGCTGCCTCTTACAGTGGGAAGTACTGATTTATTTTGGAAATAACAAGGGAATCTGAGTGGGAATTCCATGGCATGTAATTATGATGAGGTATCTGTTGTAAGGAGTGTAGAGAGGTTTCATCATTACCTGCAGAATGTAGGGAAGGAAGAACTTAAGATGTAACAATGTTTATTTACTTTGCTTTCCAGTTTCTGAAAGATTAAGCCCACCCACTGATGATGCATGTTATGATACCTTCACTGGTTCTTTCTATTCCATTGGGGATGAATGGGAAAGGATGTCTGAAACGGGATTCAAATTGTGGTGCCAGTGTTTAGGCCTTGGTAGTGGACATTTCAGATGTGATTCTTCAAGTGAGTACCTTCTTGTGCATCTCTTTTTCTAATAGTTAAGACATACTGAACTCTAAGAATTAATTTAAATAATCTTTCTACAACAGAATAATGCCCATACTTTGTTCATAAATTCCCTTTTTTGTAGTCCACTTTGTCATCTAACTTGAAATTACTTTGTTACACATTTGTATTCCTATATTTTATTTTATTAGTGACTCTTTATTACTGGCAATTGACATGTTATTTTGAAAGCAGAGTTCTTGGTTGGCATGTAGCAGTTAATCATAAATATGGTAAATAAAGCTCCGATTATTCTTCCGAAGACATTCAGAAACAGGGAATGTACAAACATGGTGCAACTTGCATGTTGAGAGTCAGGATTATGTCTTTTTAAAGGTATAGGGAGAATGACTCAAGCTTCTAGTCATTCACTGGGGGAATTTTGAGCCAGTCATTGTCCTGTCACTCAACCTACCCATTCATGTCTGTCACATGCAATTCCACCAACATTATAATTTTATCAGAACTCTCAGATTATGTTGCTGCTCTTGAGGGTAGTATGGTCCTAGCCAGAAAATTACCTTTGCCTAATTATGATTTAGTGTCAGCGTAGGGCCCTACTCCATCACTATATCTAGACAATCACACAATGCAAACTGTAAGCATTTGCAGACATTAGAATCCAACCTGGAACCTTAATTGATTGATTCAACCATACTATGGATTACACTGAGCAGTTATTCCCCTGCATTTCCAACCCTGTGGAGTCAAAAAGCTTGCTAAGACAACAACAATAATCTTGAATTATGTATTACATATGATGTATTTTATATTACAATAGTAAATCAGGTATTGAGATGAACTTTTAGTAAGAAATTTTGGCTGACCCTGGAATGTGAATATGTAAATTGCTACACATTTGAGTACAGGTCATAGTGGGACTCTTATCCACAGTTAGTCACTGAGCTCACTGGAAGGAGCTGTTCTGGGGCTCAAACAGGGATTTTCTAGGTATTGTGCATCCAAAGACACTGGTAATTGAATCAGGGTCCTTCAACACCACTACTAAGTTGGTTTGACCTTAAAGCAAGAATTCACATTTGCAAAGGTAGGAAATATTGTCTGAAATTTACTTGGGAAGGACTGTTGTTGATAATAAATAGCAATAGTATTTGGATTTATATCCCACTTCATAGTGCTTTACAGCTCACTGTCTAAGCGGTTTACAGAGTCAGCAAATTGTCCTCAATAATCTGGATCCTCATTTTACCGACCTCAGAAGGATGGAAGGCTGAGTCAACCTTGAGCCAGTCAGGATGTGCAGCCAAGCTTTCTTAAGATGTCCAATTATGATTAAGTTGTCATTTCATTTCAATGGCCCTGGAGCAGAGCTCTTGCTTTTTCAACTAAGATAATAATAATAATTAATAATAATAATAATAATAATAATTAAAAAAAATAAAAATAAAAATAATAATAAAGTTGGAAGGGACCTTGGAGGTCATCTAGTCCAACCCCCTGCTCAAGCAGGAAACCCTATACCATTTCGGACAAATGGCTGTCCAGTCTCTTCTTAAAAACCTCCAGTGTTGGAGCATTCACCGCTTCTGGAGGCAGGTTGTTCCACTGGTTAATTGTTCTAACTGTCAGGAAGTTTCTCCTTAGTTCTAGGTTGCTTCTCTCCTTGATTAGTTTCCACCCGTTGCTTCTTGTCCTGCCTTCAGCCACTTTGGAGAATAGCTTGACTCCCTCTTCTTTGTGGCAGTCCCTGATGTTGCTCTGTGTAGTTTTCTATCACCAATAAACCAGTTTCAGGGGACAGGCAGTACTACAATCAACTTGTATTAAAAGATGCTGCAATTGCAGATGATTCAACTTCCACTTATTACTTTGGTTCATTCAGAGTGGTGTCATGACAATGGGATAAACTATAAAATCGGTGAGAAGTGGGATAGGCATGGAGAGAATGGCCAGGTGATGAGCTGCACTTGCCTTGGAAATGGAAAAGGAGAATTCAAGTGTGACCCTCGTATGTATTTTTCATGAATAGTGTCTCTAATTTATGTTGTATTAAATAGAAATATATAGATTATTTTTCAGAATTCAAATAGTTAAATATAAAAACTTAGGATACAATTCCTACTGTAATAGAAGTTCATGCCCTGATACATTTGTAGAGTCCCTACAACTATCCTCCCAGCCATTATGGAGCTACAGTTCCTTCACCCATAAATTGCAGCAGGAGTCCAACGTTTTTGTGGAATGCAGATTCCCAATTTTTTATGACAGACTAAAGGCTGCCACTTGGCCTGTGGATTGTGGACCAGGGCCCTTCCAGAAAGGTAGATGTAATCAGGATTGGAGGATTTTGAGATCCACATATGGCTTTGGAGTACCAGACTGGACACTATTGACAAACTTGAAGAGTTCTGGAATTGGGTTTTCTTTTCCGTCTAACTTTCTAAGAGGGAGGGAACTTCTTTCTTGCTCTAAAGGGCAGGACCAGCACCAATGGATTCAAGCTATGAGGGAGGAGGTTCAGGATAGACACCAAAAGGAACTGTGTGAATTGTCAGCCAATAGAATAGGCTTCCACATGAAGTGATGAGTTCTTTGCTAGATATTTTCAAACTGAGGAGGGGGTGGATACAATGATTTCTGTAATTATTTTCAACTCAGTGAAATGTTTTCTTCATAGATAATCATGGGGAAAGAATCTGCAAAAATGTGCTCATACTAGAAAACTATAGAGTTAATTATTTAAGAATAGTTTGGCAGTGTTTTAGGATGATGAGATAATGACAATGCATCCATCAGTTAACAAAACATTGGTAGTCCTCCAATTTTTGAAAGATTTATTAATTGATTGCAGATGAAGCAACTTGTTATGAGGATGGCAAGATGTATCATGTAGGAGAGCAGTGGCAGAAAGAATATCTTGGGGCTATCTGCTCATGTACTTGCTACGGAGGACAACAGGTAGGTATTTCCATTATATATATAAAACTTTCATTATTTTCATAAATAGTTATTTGCAGCAATGTTTTAATAAGAACAGCCCATAAGACATATCTGAGTGGGCAGCTATAAAAACCTTAAATTAAATCTGCTGAAATGCTTATCTTGGAGTTGTTGAAATTATATTGTTTCCATAATCCATTGTATAGCCATCTCATTTAAATCTGTACATGAAAGCAGGTTTCTTTCTGTTCCTCAAATGCTTTTGGAATCTAACTACTAAGACCCAGTTCAAGAAGGAGGTGAAGTCTAACAACATTTGAAAATACCCTCAAGAATACCCTTATTCAGGTTTGCGGTTTTTTTACATTTGTACAGGGCTGGCGTTGTGACAATTGCCATAGACCTGGTGCATCTGAAGGTTCTCCTAGTCAAACCTATTCACAGAGAGAGCAACAAAGCACAAACACTGTAAGTGAACATTTGACATCTATAGGATCATATGTGGCTCTTAAATTTTAATCAATACTAAGGATAGAGTATTTTTCCACTAATTGATTCTGCAGGAACTACGTTTGCATATTTTGTCCTTGGATGATGGGTGAATATTACTGTGTGTTTCTCACAATGTCACCCATTTGCCTTCTGTGAAATGGGAGTGTTCTACTGTATAAGAATAAATATGAAACTCTGTCTTTGGTGCTCAGAGTCCTTTTGCCTTATCCATTGGCCAAAATATTGGAGCATATATACTAACCATTCTAAAAGCAAATTTCACAGCTTCTTAACATGATTTATAGGAAGTACATATTAGTAAGTAAACTCTGTTGTATAATCTGGCAGCCTTTGTCTGTCATAGATTTCCACTATATTTAGGATTTCAAGATTTTTTACTTGAAGGAGGAGACTGATACTTGAAAGATGGTTGTATTAGAATTCAACTAAAAGCAGTTTGGTCTCGTGTTTAAGGAACCAGGCTAGAAACAAGGAGACGATGAGTTCTAGTCCTGCCTTAAAAATGAAAACCAACTTGGTGACTTTGGGCAAGTCATAGGTAGGTCAACTCCTGTCCCAACCAGTGGATCAACACTTATCAAAATAAGTGGACCCTGCAGTTGTAGGAAAATATTAGGAAAAAAATAGCTATGTTAGATTTCAAATAATTTCACTTTGGTAAATTATATGGATCTATTTGCATTCTACATGATAGAATTATAGTAATATAAACTAGAAAAGGTAAGGCTTAAACAAAATATAAAACACTTTATGCAAAGCACTTTTCTATGTAATGTAAGCAGCAATTACATTAGCATAGGTGGTCAAAAGTGCATTTAAAAAGCGAAGTCTGTGATTATGTATTTGGGTCAAACATCAGGATCTAAGTACAGAAGGGCAGAATTTACATCCTATGTCACATGTATCCTATGTCACATGTATTTCGATCTAATCTCAGGTTGCTGCAGATGGTGAGGCACACTGAATTTTTTTTCTGAAATCAAATGGTTATTTTAAGATTTTTCATGAAGAGCCTACAGGAATAGCTGGCGAGGCCTCCCACTTACACATGTGCACGGGCACTAATACTACCACCAGCGACATGCGAGTGCTAGCGACCCATTTGTGCCTGCACGTGAGCGCCAGCGGCCCATTTGTGCATGCGTGTGAGTGACAATGGCCCGTTTGCACATTTGTGTGGGCTCCAGCAGCCCATTTGCGCAGGCGCCAGGGGTCCATTTGCATATGCGTGTGGGTGCACATGACCTACATGCGCATGCTATGCCACCACCGTGCATATGTCCATTTGCATATGCGCTTATGGGCGGTACACACGCACATTTCCCTGCTCTTCTCTTTCCTTCCAGGCTGCCAAGCCAGAAAGCTCTGGCCTACAGTATAAATGTTGTTCAGACTGTCTACACTTTCAGTAAGATACTTGCTGCCTTTTAACATTATGACTGCTAATTATATTTATCCATGTTTCCTCCAGCAGAATATCCATTGTCCAATTGAATGCTTCTATCCCTTACATCCACACTCAGATGCACAGAACCGACGTGGAGATTAATTATCAAGATTTTAACATCAAGCAAGAAGAGGTTGCAGCCAACACTATACTATAAATGCTACTAGGAGAAAGCAGATCTATCTTATCTTGTGGTAATGAAAGCATTCAGCTATCATATTTGAGCTTCAAAAAATCTGGATGACCACAAGTTTGTAGCAAAGAGATACAAAACACTTTACATTATTTTCTGCCCTCTGGTGGTCATCTGGATTTTCCTATCCCAGGCCTGATAGCCTTACAACAGCTGCACTTCACTTTTGCTCAATTCACAGCTTGTCCAAAGGAGAACAGTCCTGGTGCATTTCAAATCTTCTTTTCAGCAAGGAAGCAGATATGTTGTCCATTCTTTTCTCAAAGACTTTCAGTGTTGTTCCATATTTTCCTTAAAGCAACTATTGCTAATAATAAATGCTCAGCAATTCATAAATACCCTGAGGCCCATAAAAGTTGGAGAGAGAAAATGAAAATTCAAATGAAAATCAAAAAAAGAAATATGTTCTGCTAACCATGCAGACTTCAATAGGAACTGCATATCCTATTGCTGTGATATTTATAATATTCACAGCCTTAATCTTTATAAATGATCCTAATTTTTTACCCTAGCGGTATATATGTATCTTGTACTGTTATTTATCAACATCAATTTCCTTTTATACCTCCTCCCTCCATCTCTAAATGTCTTTATATTTTTCTACAAGAAAATACATTAAAGACATTTAGTATATCGTTGACAGAAAAATTTGGTATAATTATGGTCAGTGATTATTTTTTATACTGTAAGTGCCAAAGCTTTCTGCTATGAGAGACAATTCTTTTAATAAAAGGTTTCACCAAACTGTTTCTTAGAACTGTTGTCTGAATTTTTCTTATTACTGAGCTCAGCAATCTGTAATCACTTCTGACACCACTGTTATTTTTAGCAGCACACAGAAACAGAATAGAACTATAGAGAACTGGTATTAGGAATTATAGTTAGCCGTAGAAAGTTTGCTAAATTCTTTAATTCCCTATTTTTTTTCTCAAAATAAAGCTCTGAAGGAGATTGATAGTAGATTATTTCCCCATTATTGCCTAGTGAACTTTCTACCTGAGTGGAAGTTTTAACTGTCTTTTTAAACATTCACATTTTGGTCCATCAACATAGGAACCAGAATGGAAAAGTAAATTTCTGCAAGTAAATTATTAGGAATTATTAGGCTTCTGGGATCATAGTCCGATAGGGCTATCATTTGCCTATAAATGGGAGATAAAGTATGCATAACCATGTCAACTGTCCGATTAACAAACTTAAAATCAAGGAATCTTCAAGGCTTTGAAGTGCCATAAAAGATAAAACTTTATTGAGTACATATCTCGGAACTGAAGAAGCAAAACCAGCTAGTTAACATTAGTTTCCCTTAACCTCCACCCACTGGGTGTTCACATTGCCCACATTGCTTTGGTTTGTTATTAGAAAGGTCCACTTCTCCACCAGACACCTGTGTTAGTGACCTTAGCATTCTTGTAGGCTCACAATCTCTGGACGGCTTCTTAAGAGTCCCATTTCCTCCCTACGCTTACCAACCCCTCCCCCGTTTCTATGGCAAGTTGAGTAGCGATAGAAGTTAGTAGGCATCTTAGCAATTCAACTTTGACAATCCAGTTCCCAAGATTCTGTAAACTAGCCCTTTTCCTTGCACTAGATGTGACTGTGACTATGACAACCTTTCTTTCTTGGTTGTGAGCAGCCTTCAAGAGCTTGAGCCTACTGTGCAGTTATGAAGGCAAAGACACAGGTGTCTTTAAGAGAGGCCTTAACAGGAGCAGTGTACATGTGAATGCTCAGTCCAAAGCACCTTGGTACAACAAATACGTTGAGAGCAATATATCAAATTGAAGAAGTTGCTTAGGCCATTATGTTTCAGTATCTTTTCCCATTTCTGTGTTAGGTGAGGGAGCCAAACATTTTGACTCTCACCATCAGCAGGTCAGGCTACAGGGTTTTATCAACTGAAAGGGCGGTACAGACTTCATATCTTGTGACTCATGTACATATATCCTACCCAGTTAACAGTACATAGTTGTACTTGACTGGTCTACACAGGTGTCAAGCATGAGAAATAAGGAAAATCAGGCAGCTCAAATGAACATAAAAGTTTATTGTAAGCTTAAGCTCTCTACAAGAATCTGAACTACTAACGATCAAAGCAAATTGGCAGTAGAAAAGAGTCAATGAAATTCAAGGTGGGTGGACTTAGCTCTTTTGTGGGCGTGGAGGGACTCGAGACTCATGACGTTTGATGCCTCCCTCAAGCTCAGTCTGCTCATTTCCTACAACAGGAGAGGACTGCAAGTAGACATGAATTTACAATGCTTTGTTTAGTGACTGTTCAAAGTTACAAAGCCAATGACTTACAGTGAGGGAAAAATTATTTGATCCCCTGCTGATTTTGTACATTTGTCCACTGACAAATAAATGATCAGTCTATAATTTTAATGATAGATTTATTTTAACAGAGACAACAAATAACAACAAAAAAATAAAAAAAACATTTAAAAAAAGTTATAAATTGATCTGCATTTTAATGAGTGAAATAAATATTTGACCCTTTCACAAAACATGACTTAATACTTGGTGGCAAAATCCTTGTTGGCAATCACAGTGGTCAGATGTTTCTTGTAGTTGGCCACCAGGTTTGCACACATCTCAGGAGGGATTTTGTCCCACTCCTCTCTGCAGATCCTCTCCAAGTCATTAAGGTTTCAAGGCTGACATTTGGCAGCTCGAACCTTCAGCTCCCTCCACAGATTTTCTATGGGATTAAGGTCTGGAGACTGGCTAGGCCACTCCAGGTCCTTAATGTGCTTCTTGAGCCACTCCTTTGTTGCCCTGGCCGTGTTTTGGGTCACTGCCATGCTGGAATACCCATCCATGACCCATTTTCAATGCCCTGGCTGAGGGAAGGACATTCTCACCCAAGATTTGACGGTACATGGCCCTGTCCATTGTCCCTTTGATGTGGTGAAGTTGTCCTGTCCCCTTAGCAGAAAAACACCCCCAACTCTCTTATTTGTGATAGCCTCTCAAGTACTGGAAAACAATTATATCCCCCCAATCCCTCTCTTTGATAGCTAGGTAAACATACCTAGCTCCTTCAACCGTTCATCGTATGATTTAGGATCCAGATCCTTTATCATCTTTGTTGCTCTTTTCTGCACTTTACAGAATATCAACATCTTTTTTGTATTATAGTGAAATGGATGCAGTATTCCAAGTGTGCCCTCATTAATGCAATATAAACCAGTACTATCACTACTTGTGATCTTGATGCTATCCCTCTGTTGATGCAGTTTGGGACTGCACTGGCTTTTGAGGAAGTTGCAGCATACTGCTGGCTCATACATACGTGGTGGTCCACTAGGACAGGGCTTTTCAACCAGTGGTACATTAACGAGTGGCAAGGCAAACCCTGCCTAGCCAAGTGTAGTGGGGGAGGGAAAGCCAGTGCAGGCAAGGACTTACTGTGAGAGTCCTCTGGAGCTGCAGAGTGGCTGGGGCAAGGCAAAGGCCCCAGGGTCCTTCTGGCTCACCCTCCCCCATGAGAAAGGAGGAGGAGGGGGACGGAGGCAGGAGAGGCTATAAAAGGAGGCAGGCACCGAAGGGGAAGGAGGGTGGAGGGCAGAGGAGAGGAGGTCAAGCAGGTCAAGCAGGCCGGCCATGAGCCGATCTACAACTTCTGTGGCAGCCACCTGTGCTGACAGCAACAAACAGGCAAGAAATGCAGCAGGGGAGGGGTTGCCCTCCACAAGGAATGAAGAAAGGTAGTATCAGCTGGAAGTGGGACACGGGATGAGGGAGGGAGGGAGGGAGGAGACGGAGAGTGGAAGGATTCTTATGTGCTTTTGTGACTTTGAAGTTCTGGGATTTGTGCAATGAGGGCTTTGTGTTCTTAGGGAGTATTTGGCAATTTCTATTTGGCTGATGGCTGGTGTTAGCTTCTATTGCTCTACTATTGTTAGCTGTAAGTTTTGCTGCAAGGGATTTTGAAGTATTTTTCTCCTGAATGGATTTTGCCTGTAGCATTCCTTTATTTATGAATGGAGCCATTTGGGGAGGCTGCCTTAGCCGGCAGCCAATACTTACATTTTTTTTTCTTCCTTAAGTGCCGGCTACGCTCCTTAACTTTCCTTTCTAGCCAGTAGCTAATTCTTAAAGGGGAATGTGCCTTTTTAAGCTAGTTCACTCAGCAGCTTGTCTTTTCTGTCTCTGTAGGCTTTTCCTTGTTTGATGAATATATGGAAGAGGGAAAATATGGGGGGGGGGTGTTTCAAATTCTTCCTTCAAAAGGAGGTGGGCATGAGAAATAGGGAGGGAGGGAAGTCTCGCCTTAGCACTTGGCCACCAGCAGCCCTGCCATTGACTTTGCTTGTCAAAAGGTTGCAAAAGGGGATCACATGACCCTGGAACAGTGACCATCATAAATATGAATCAGTTGCTAGGCATCCAAATATAAATCACATGACCCTGGGCATGCTGCAATGGTCATAAGTGTGAAAAATGGTCATAAGTCATTTCAGTGCAATTGCAACTTTGAACAGGTTTTTTTGGGTTTTTTTGATCATCAAGTTTTTCACACCTTGCTAGTGGTACTCGAATACTGCCATATCCTAAAAATGGTACAATCGGTGAAAAGGTTGAACATAAATCCTTCACAAGTACTAATGAGCCAGGTACCACCTATTCTGTACTGATGCATTTGGTTTTTCCTGCCTAAGTGCAGAAACATGTTTTTCTTACTACTGAACTGCATCTTATTACTTAAGGCCCAGTATTTAACTCTGTCAAGTTGCTTCTGGATCTTGAGTCCATCTTCCAAAGTGTCAGCTATTCATTAAAACATTTATTAAAACACTGTTTTAACTAATCAAAGGAGAAGAAAGCACAATGGAGATTTTAAAACAAGACAAAAAATTAATACAACATACAAATAATCCTTTTTCCAAGTACTATCACGCTGTCAAAAAGGCAAAAGATACTTCTATCATTTGTATTAATTTAACAATTGGTGTCATTCACGTTCGTCTTGTAGCCCTTTATTGTCTCACAATTTTAGAAAGAATAAAGAAGTTCCAGGACAAATAATATATAGAACTACTAATATACAGATATATATAAATAAGACTTGTGCATATGTTATGGAAAGCTGAAACCAGAGATGGGATTGCAGGAAGGGAAGAGCTAAAAGTAATGTAACTTTGTATGCTGACACATATGTGAAAAGGCTGTCATCATACAGCTTAGATTAATGAGAGGTCATTTTTGTGTTTGTGTGTGTGCGTGCCTTCAGGTCAGTGTTGACTTGGACAAATCCCTGCAGTTTTCTGGCATCAATTTCAGATGAGATGGATACATCTACAAATAATACTAAAGAGATGTCAACATCCTCCTTCCCCATTTCTTATACTGCTTCCCTGGACAATTGTTCCATCCAGAAATCACCATATTTCTATCCACCTGGAATCAATTTCAGGAGAAACTGCCATTCTACTGTTAATGAACATCTCAGTCAAGTTCACTAATTTAAAAGAACAAATTTCCAGTATGTACAATTCTTAGCTGGGAATTGATTTTATGTGTTGATGGAAATCACATCCATGCCAAGTTCTTAAAGAATTCAGATTTACTATTGATAATTTTGCGTTTTTATTTTCAAGAAATTTTCATAACTTTTTATTTTACTTTAGTACTCTCAACATGTTATATGTAGATTTTAGCAGATTGTATAAAGAATATGCTCTGAAATACTGATTTTTAAATATCAGTGGTGAAATAGGCGAAGATTGGTATGAATAAGAGTTATTCCCAGTTCATCACAGGCTTCAATCACAATTTGGTCAGCAGCAGAACCAGACGGGGAAACAATGAACTGGACTCCACTCTGAGAAAGAAAGACACAATTGTTTAGTGAATCAATTCAATTGTTAAGTTAGTAACATGGTTGTTAATTGAATCTGGCTTCCCCATTGACTTTGTCAGAAGGTTGCAAAAGGTGATCACATAAGAGTCACTGCAACCATCATAAATATGAGTCAATTTTTATTATTATATTATTATATTTATACCCCGCCCTTCTCCCGTAGGACTCAGGGCGGCTTACAGCCAGTTTAAAAACAGTTTAATACAATACAATACAAAGTTTTAAAAAATCATTAAAAATAAATATTTAAATCGGCCGCTTCTACTAAAATTTGGCTAAAACCAATTTAAAATACCCCTAGGCCAGTCCTGCCCGCTG